TTCTTCCCTACAAAGGATTTGGCAACAGACTGTCGCCTCTCTGTCGACATTGGCTTCTCGGGTGTCATTTCGATCTAGACCAAAGCTTATCTGTGCTTGTTGACATGCACCGGCAATTGTTCAAATGTATAATAATATAACCAAATATTCGGTCTTTCACTGACGTATTTTTTGTGTCGACATTCACCAGAGAATATCAACATTCTATAATTTTGGTCTTTTATAGTAACATATACATAACAGCTGGGAAAGTAAAACTAACATTTAATTGAAAACAAAATAAAATGTTTCTTTGGGAATTTTGAAACAAATTGCTGATGAAATTACTAAATTTAAAGTCCTTTATTTTTAATAAGAAAAGTGTGATATTTAAAATTGAATCCAAATTTGAAAATTTTATGATCAACATTTTTGAAGAAATATTATAATCATATTTTTTTTACCAATGATATGAATTAGTACAGATAATGAGGAAAGAAATATAAAACAAATAACTTGAATTTATAATTTGTTAAATATCATTGAACAGAAATAAATCTCTCAATTTAATTTCATGCACAGATAAAACTTATATAGTAGTGGCCATAGAAATTGCATTGCCTATAATATATAGCAAAAAGCATTCAATAGAATTGCAAAGTAATGTAATTAAGCTGTGACTGTGATTTGGAATGATAACATATATAGTGTAGACAAAAAACCAAGAAAAATATTATTAAAAAAAAGAAATTTTTTACGCAAGTTCCATATAGCATTGTAAGTGTTGTTTTTTACCATAGACTTACCAGTGAGCACTGCTGCAGAAACTTGCCATTTACAGTTATGGAAGGAAAAAAAGGGGTTTACAGCTTAAAATATGCCTGAAGAGCAATGCAAACTGTTATTTTTCATTGAATAGGTTCCTGATAAATTTTAGGGCTTCCTCGAGCCTTAAGAACAATTTTTAATTGCACCAACATTGCGCCAGCATAAGTTTCTTCTATACCAAGCTCATGATATTAAACTGTCTAATACATTGAAGTTTATTTTCAGGGCTTTACTCAACAATTTTTATGTTTATTAGATCTATGCAGGTTAAAAATTCATATTCATCCAATAACATAACAGAATTTCACATCTCAGCATTTGAATTTGCACATTGTTTAGTCCAGATAAGCTGCTTTTTATGCATTTTAGTCATTAGAGAGGTTGTGGCCGTCTATTCAGCCCAAAATGTGAACAGCGGACTGTCAAGCGTTGTCATCTGGCAATTCTGGACGGTCGATAATGGCGGTCGCTACGTCTAGCAGACGATCAGCTTAAACTTCTTCATTTTTTTGTATTTTGAGTTAAAATTATGAATTTTTTATTAAAATAATGATTATTTAAGCATTTACAAATAATATTGTAAAGAAACAGACGATTTTAAT